TCTAGCTTAACAGTGTAGAAACCTGTTAGCACTGGATGTATAAAACATTGCTCTACATGAACTGGGCTTATGTGTGCAGTAACATTTGAAGAACAACAACAGGACAACACCCCTTGCACAGCTGCTTACATACATACTGCTTTACTTGATCTGCCCACTTCTTCTGCATCCAACATGGAGCTGATGTCTGATGTCTCAAACTTTGGCAAGCATGTTGTAGGGCTGAGCAGTCAACAAATTATGTCCTCCATACATAAGGTAACATGCTTGTATAGTACAGACCACAGCGGGAATCCCATCATTTGTTTTAGTGGAAAAGGAATGCAAAATTTCCCATTAAACTGGGACTCATCACAACATATGATTTGCAGTTGTATTTTGTTCAGTGTTGTTGGAGAATGACCACTTTAACTTTAACCTGTGGTGGCATCACTCACTGTACATGCCTTCTACTGGTATATAGTGTCTGGTCACAGGATGTATTGTCAGACGTGGTTCAGCCCAGTTCCATCCTGAGCAGAGCTCTAATCAGTCAGAATGAGTGAAAACACCTGTATGGGAGTACAGAGGCTTTAGGAGCTTTGGTTTAAAGCACCAAAGCAAACTCACAGTGAAGCTCAGTCTGCATACTGAGCAACATCAGACACAGATGTGCTTACTCATACACATATCTACCTGACTAGTATTGTTGTGTGTGCACTTGAGCGATACACCAGTGATACCCGATCTCTGTTCTGCAGAGGAGATCAGCCACTTTATTTTTGGACTGAGTCATCTTTAAACCACATCCACACTTTCTAACTTGGTCTGCTTTCTCCTCCACAGATTGCGAGGGAGCATGGCATTAGGTTTTTTGAGACGAGTGCTAAGGCCAACATCAACATCGAGAAGGCTTTCCTCACGTTAGCAGAAGACATCCTCAGAAAGGTGTGTGTACTGACCGTGTGACCGCGACATTGAGAAAGACTACGTGTGCAGTTACTATTTGTTTTTGTAGTTACTTTTTCAGAACCAGCCCCAGTACTTTATTGACTTTGGCTGATAGCAGCTGGGATTTCACTTTATAGTTAATCATTGTGTGTGGCCTCGTATGGTAGAGTTATGATGGTTACAGGAACAAGCACATTCATTTCTTTATTTTTATTTCAATCACAGCATGCATTTACATATATTAGTGACAAGTTATAATAATAGAATAGCAGTAGCTCTCAACCTTTTGATCTTTGACACTTTAAAGCAACGCAATATGCATTTCTGCAATGTGGTTTTTGTCTTTGAGGTTTGAGCAGCAAAAGTTTCTCTAAATGTTTAATTTTAGTTGTTTTTTTTTTTAAACCCTTGTGCTGTCTGACCAAATTGCCTCTGATAAGCTTTCCATTTGAGCACCACTGTAACCGAAATTTAAAAACCAGCTGGAGTCCAATCATTCTGAGTGTGTACAAAAAAAAAAAAAACCACAACGGCATCACCAACTAATTGGCAACCACAGTTGTTGGCAACTATTTTAGTCATCAACTCTTGTTGACTGCTTTAATTATTCACTGCCCCCCTACTGACCTTCTGACATGCAGTTTGGACACCATAAATCCTGCTTAAACTCCATCTATTGAAGACACAGGAGTGGGGTTTAGGTGATCATGTCACTCAGATGACTTTAAATCCATCCAAAGCCTTAAACCACAGCTAAGTCAGCCTCACGAGAGTCATCATTTTGCATCGTCACTGACAACTGGAGTGCTTTGCATCTGTCAAATGCCACGCGGTGCATTGTGGGATTGTTAGGAGGGGGTAGTGGACAGCACATGCCACTGACAATACTGTTATTTTTTAAATTCCATGTTGGATTTTTTTAGAGTAGAAGTAGGCAGCAATTCTGGACACAGTCAGAGTATAACAACACTAAGTCTCATGTAGTTAATAGGATGTTTTTTTTGTGTGTTTGTGTGACAGACGCCTGTAAAAGAGCCCAACAGTGAAAACGTCGACATCAGCAGCGGAGGTGGAGTCACAGGCTGGAAGAGCAAGTGCTGCAGTTGAACAACTCCTCTGTTTCATTCACACTAACGCACACAAACACACACACAGACACACAAACACACATAATATCTCTCTCTCTCTCTCTCTCTCTCTCTCTCTCTCTCTCTATCTCTATCTCTCTCTAACGGCTAACTCTAACTCTCTCGCCCTCTAACCTGTCTCATGAGTTTTCTTGCACACTGACACTCTCTGTCTCTTTATCAGAATAAAACAATAAACCACTTCACTTGTCTAATCCCCCCCACCCCTCTACCCGCCATATTCCTCCACTCTGCATCTGATGATCATTTTTATTTCTGATAAAAAGAGAAATCCAGTCACGTTTCTTGTCATTTGTTTTAAAGGTTGTTAAGAAAAAAAAAAAAGTGTGAAAAGACAAGCTCATATTTTTAATATTTCCTTTGCCTGAGCTCACCTGGTTGGACACCCTCACCTCCCCCCTTAACCCCACCCACCCACAGCACTCACCTTCAGTCAGAGGAAATCCAAGTAAAAAGAAAATCAAACAAAAAAGACTAATGTAGGATTAACATTTTGTACACTTAGTGAGGTTTCTGTTGTCTAACCGTATTTGGTCATTTACAATTTGTTACCAAGTGACAGAGGCGTGGCTAGCTCCTTTTGTATGTGGGGGTTTATTTTGTCCTGTGCCTTATATGGAAGACAGGGGCGGGGCTGTGTGGTGGGCGGAGCCACATCCACCCAATGAAATTACAGTTTAATATTACTTCGGTTCAGGCACAGAAGCCGAACTGAAGCTAAAGCGTTTGAATTTCTCCTCCAGCCAAGAGAACGGCATTATACAGTATGTCCTGTTTATTGATGTTTTATTTTTATCTGTATGATTTATTTTACTTTTATTTTTTGATTTCTTTTATTTTTTTTCCCTTTTTGGGTTGATTTTTTTTTTTTTTTTTTCCTGCATGCAGATTTCTTTGGGTTGGAAGCGTTTCTGTAACGTTGTGTAACGTTTGCCACTGGGTAACTGTGGGCGGGAGGTACAGAAGTTCTCTTTGGAAATTCAAACAATTTTGCAGATCCATTAAAAATAAGCTTGTTTAAGTTAACTTGTTTGTCCTCAATCATGTGCTGTGTGTAGTTTGATGTCTCCGTTCATGTCAGATTTTATAACCAGTGTTTTTCATCAGCCCGACGCTCAAGATGTGGAAAGTTTGACCTGCAGAAGACGCACACAACTCAAGAAAAGCTACCATATAGAAACAGTGTAGAGCTTACTCGTGCTTTTTGGCCTATGGCTGGCCTCTGCAGGTGGAACTGGTCAAAGATAATGAAAATTAATCTTTTCAGTGCAGGTATTTAACATCCTGCAAAAGCACAGGTGTAACTAACGGCACTAATGATGGCTGCTTTGTTTAAGCCAAGTCGGAGCGCCAGCATGTAGGATTTTAGAGCCTTGGAGCTGGCTGACATCCATGGAAAGCAGCCAGCAACAGTGTAGTTACACCTGTTTGTGTCTAGCCGTCAGTGTTAGTACACTGTCAGTGATATGATATGAAAGAAGAAGAAAAAAAACATCACTAAGCTCATCAACCATCATTAAATTAAAACTATTACAAATGTCAACATTTTTTAAGATTAGAAATACATAATGTATCCCACCCAGTTACTAAGTAGACCTAAACAGATGAGTTTCGAGATACATTTTCAAGCATGTATGAATTATGTATTGATGTAAAGATGAATAACTTCTCATCTACAACTGAAGCAATGCAGTATTTAACAGAATTGACAAAATGTAAGACACCAGCACAATGTTTTTGCATGAGACATATCTAAAATTTTCCTCAATGGATCCAAATTGCACACCAGTTATGTTTTGACCTGAATTCTATGTAAGATTATCCACAATCAGGCCAACACCACTCAATCTTTTAACTGTACACGCATAATAAAACCCATGTATTAATAGATAAATAAATAAATAAAACTCTAATGTGCTGTTAGTGCTGGCACATAGGAAAAAAATATTTTTTGATAGACTTTCAAAATAATGCACTGTCAACATTTGTATAGTATTTTTATATCATGTATTTTAGCTGCATTGTTGTCATGGTTTAGTCTGGCGCCCTCTGGTGGTATGAGCTGATAAAAACCATCACATTTAGGTTTATCAAGGAATGATTGCATTTTCTTACTAATGATGACTGACCATTTCTGGGCAACAAAATCCACCAAATAAGGCTTTAGTAACTTTTATAGCTGTAGACTTGTGTATAACTATTCATAATAAGTTGACTAGATGCTAACAGGAATTCATATTAATTCCTCACAGGTGATCTATTAATTATCAGTAAATGACTTATTAGCCATTAATCAAGTTTTATAAATTATGCCTTATCAAAAAGACACTAATAACTATAATACATGATTGTCAGTGGTAAGGTCTAAGATTGAGGTGTTGTTATATGTTCAACTGCCTGTAGGAAAAGTTTATTTATTCAGGGCAACAATATGTAGTTATGAGTGGAGGCTGAAGCTAGGGAGCATATTAAGTGGAGATGAAAATATACCTTTTACCATATTTGCATATATTTGTTATCTATAGAAGTTGATTACATGAGTTTCTGCTTCCAGGATCATTTAATACCAGAGCTTGTAAACCTGCCAACATTAACGTAATCTCTGGAGCAATTACAGATGATTGGAAAAATGTGATGCTTTGAATTGTTAATGTCATGTATCCTAATCCATCCATCCGTTATCCATACACCGCTTAATCCTCACTAGGGTCGCGGGGGCTTGGGAGTCTATCCCAGCCGACTAAAGGCGAAGGCAGGGGACAACCTGGACAGGTCGCCAGTCCATCACAGGGCTACACTTAAATATTAAATATATACAATTTTAGATCAGCAGCTTAATTGATAATGAAAATATGTAGCTGAAATTTAAATAACCAGTTAAGCAGTCCGTTACTAATCCACACTAATGAAAATACATCAGGGTTGGTGTGCATGTAAAAACATGTGTTGTTCTTTACATTCTTTATTTATCACCCTCTTCCCTGTTCCCAAACCTCCCAGAGCAATAATGTACACAAAAATAAAATTCTCACACAATGAAAACACAAAACCAGTGCAGAATGACAGTGGTCACCATTAAGTTCATAACAACTACATTCAGAGATCTTTCCTACACAAACAGAAGTACAGCGGGTTACAAAATCATCATGATATGTCAAGAAAAGAGTCCAGTTTCTCTTTATTTTCAATACGGCAGCACAAAAAGGTCAACTTTGACAGTGGGCTGTAGTGTTTCCTCAGGTCACCGTGTGAAGTTTAGAAGATGATCGGGTGCCAAAAAGGAAGGCATTTCTGGGTGATTGTGTAACATAATACCACAAAAAATTATGTTCATAGCGTTGTGATAGTTGCTTTCTAAATGTGGGTTATTGCAAAAAAAAAAGGGGGGGTCAAAAAACCCCACCTGTTTAGTGCTTTGGTTGAGAGACGAGCATTGAATGGCAATGAAAGTTCAACAGAAGGCCTTAGATCTATTCAGAGTCTTGTGATTAATGTTAAAAAGTACATATTGACAGAAGGCAGCAGCAGTGGACACTGACGAGGGCCTGCCCAGAGAGAAGAACAAAAAAAAAAAATCAGCCGACAGGGAAGAAAAAAATATATTTACATCCACTGTATACAACTTAATTTATAAATACATTTTAGGTATAAATTAGAAAAATATAACAACCTACTGTAGTTCAATCACCTACTTCTACTCTCATTTAAAATGCCAGTCTGATTATTAACCCTCTTTATATTTGGTGAAAGATACAATTAAAAAAAAAAAAAAGAATCAAAAAGGCACAGCAATGAATAATTAGAGCAACGTATCCCTGCACATTTCTATGAGTCACTAAATCCCCATTGCAACAGACATTAAAATATAAATTAAGACAATTCTTACCAATAAAAGTAATTCCAACAACAAAAGATTCCCACACTCAAACAGCAGCTACACTACCTGTTACAATTTCTTAAATAAATTAAGGCTTTAAGGGGGTTTTGCGATAAGTCGTCAATGAGAGCACCCTGATTCAGCTTTTTCCTGCTTTCTGTTCCTTTTAGGGTTTTCAGGCAGCACACATCATACAGTGTCACCTCTCACAAATTAAAAGTACAACACTTCTGGAAAACACGAAGGGATCTAGAGAAGTAGATCGACAGAGGCCACAGACAGCATCTGGTCAGCTTAGCTTAGCACGAATATGGGAAACAGAAGACCTGATTCTGTCCAAAGGTAAGAACATCCACCCAGCAGCATCTCTAAAGCTCACTAGTTAACATGTCAGATCTGCTTTGTTTGATAGGTACAAAGCTGGAAGTGTTGGCTGGAAACCTGATGATGTACCCAAAAATCAAATGGCTACTGTTTTATGCTAAAATGCAAAGACTTTAAAGCACTACATTTTACATTTCACTGAAGATTTGTATGTGCTCTGGTTGCAAAATAAGCATCTGCAGGTGTTTATTATAGGGACAAATTTAAGAAGCTTCAAGCTTTTATAAAAGTCAAAGTTTAACAGTAGAATGGCCTCACAAATGTGGCCCCCCTCTTGTTAAGTATTTGGGCAGCTGCCTCTAAGACACGAGACATAACTAGAGTCGTAATGAGAAGTAGTCAACACACGCAAAACTATTTGGCAAGAATATTTCAAGAAAGTTTGGATCCAACTTTTCAGATGTGAGGTTTCTGATGCCTTTCTTTGTCATATATAAGAAGAAGGATAACATCTTTCAGGTTTTTCAGTGCCCCAGACATGTTAATTAGTCAGCCTTAAGTCCTGATTATACTCAAACACGGACAGCTGCAGACACCACAAACGTGTAGTTGTTATTCTCCTGCTCTCTTGTCAGCTGACGGGACTCACATCCAATCATACATACACACTGTGGTGTAGTTGTATGTGGACACGAATTGTGGGCTGCATGCAAACATCCACAGAGGGGTTTGCACAGACTCATGGGCTAAAAGAGACGATGACATTTACGTCACATGGATCCTTGAGTACTATCCAATTAATAAAAAGTATAGCTCTGGCCTGAGTGGCGTAAACAGGCAGATTTCTTATCCTTGGACCAAGGCAGGGTACCTTCCCTAGTGTTTATATTAAGCTATGCAAAGCTATTGCCAGCTAGCTTCATATTTAGAGCTATATCTTTAATCCTATGATCTGTCTCTTGTCAAGAAAGCAAATGTTGAACTAGTCCTTTAACTTATAGTGTGAATTTACTGTCAGTTAATGTGATCGTGCGCTGCAGAGTGTTCTGACTGTTCCTACAAACATATACTCCTACGTTCAAGGATTTACATGCTGTACCGTCCCCTTCACACACAATCCCTTCCAAAACTTGTTATATACAAGCAGCTCAGCTAGCCTCGGCTGCTACACGTAGACCAGGTCTCGGCCCTGTGTCGCTGCACCGGCTGCCTCCTGCACCGCGCCCTCCGAGTCCGCCTCGTCCTCGTTGTAGCCCTCGTACTCGATAGGTTTAGGGCAGCTGTACGGATGACCGTTGTCGTCGAAGAAGCGCCGGAAGGTGAACTCGTAGAAGGCGTGCTCAGGATGCTTGCCGTTGCGGAACCAGCAGTTCAGGGTGTCGTTGTGGTTGTCCTCGCCGTCGCTGTCACTGCTCCACAGTTTGTCTGGGTCCACGGGGTCAAAGTTGGAGGTGTCTGTGGAGTGAGCGATGGTGGGGATGTAGGGCGCCACCTGCTGTCTCAGGTCGCTGGAGAAATCGATGCTCTTAAAGAAAGGATGAGTTTTGATTTCGTCTGCGCCGTTCTTTCCGAGGCGGTCTTCGGGGCCGCGGCACAATTTAACAATGAGGTCTGACGCCTCTGGGCTGAGCTTGGCTGCTGGGGGAATGTGCAGCGTGCTCTTCCAGTTTATCACCTGATGTCAACAGACAAACAACATGAGGAAACAATAAACTCTGCGGACACAAAACCTTTCACTGCTGGTGCCTCACATACCTTCAGCTGTGTCTCCAGGGGTGTGGTCGCTAAGAAGGGAGGCTGTCCAACAACCATTTCATACAAGATGACACCAACACTCCACCAATCACAGAGTTGGGTGTATCCTGCAGAAGATTACAGAAAATATTTTACTAAACATACTGTAAACTTCTCTTAGGAGCGCAGGGAATCTATTTTGGTTAAGACATCTGTTCAAATGGTGCTCACTTCTTAATCTTAATTTTATTGTTTTGCATAATGACAAAAAATACAAATGTCAGTTATGTGTCAGATGTAGCTTACAATGTCTCACTGCAGCTAAAGGAAGAATTCATATGTAGGTCAATAGTACAGTAATCTGCAGGTAATTTAAAATCTTTTTTTAAAAGGAAAATTCAGCTTCTCTAACATGAAGCAATTTGACTGAACTGGGTTGAACTGCAGGCTGCGTTTACTCAGTGCAGGTAGGAGACAAGTGTGGAAACAAATTGTACATGTCAGTAATACAATATCTGAGAAGAAGCTACCATTTCTTTCCCATCATTTTTACACCTGTGGGCACTTGGGAAAAATGTCATACATGTTGAGTCCAGGTTTTCTTAAATGTATGTTCCTAATGGCACTTTAACTGCACTGAATATATTTTTGAGTTCTCTACTTCTAGCCGTGGTTGTGCAGTTTCCATAGAGGTGCAGAACTTTATGTTGTATTAACAAATAGGCCAACAGTGACTGAAGCAAAAAAGAAAAGAATTATGGAAATGGAAAAATTATGACTTTGGTGCAGATACACTTGGCTTGGAAACTTTTACAAAATAAATTATGTACATCCTACAAAATGTAATACTGGTGCTGCACATGAGCAAAAATCAGATTTTTAAAACGTACATGCTAAAGGCTACGCCAAAAAGTCAACACCTCAAATCTGAACCCACTGCTTGTCAGTAGATTCCTGACAAACATAGTGCCACAAGTGAAACATGGACAATCCAATGTAAAAAGAACACAAATGAAGACGAACATTTACTTTCACATCAAACTCCTCTAGCTCTGGTCCACTGTACCTGTTCTGAGCAGCACTTCTGGTGCTATATAGTTGGGTGTCCCCACAAGTGAGTGGGCCAAACAGCGCTGGTGCTGTCGGGCCTTTCTCCTCTCCAGAGGCTTCAGGCGGTCTGTACAGCGGCAGTTGGCTGGATCTTCCCATTCCTTACTGAAGTCCATGCTGTCCTGCCTCACGTGGTCCCCTGGAAAGAGATCACACGGTGCCTTTAAGTCACAGTGTTTATGTTGTCAGGAGAAAGTCAGAGCACGACAATTGCAATAGCTTAAATAAGAAACTGATCAGCTGTCGTTTCTAAATTAAAAATCCTGCAAATTCAGTTATTCCAGCTTCACAATATGTACATTTGCTGACTTTCTAAGTACTCTGTGGCAGTAAGCCGAATGTCTTTGGGTTATAAATGGTTAAGAAACACCAAGCAAGATGTCAACTCATGTATGTGTACTTTACTTATGTTTTTTTTATTTTTTTTTATTTACAATAATATTATTTATATATCATATATAGACGAGCTGACCTTAAAATAACTAGCTTGTTGCTGCCATGTAGCAATGTTCTACATCTAATAACAATTAATAATTATAATTAATGTAATAATGTCATTAAAATGTGACGGTAATGAGAATGTAGTTTTTTTTAACTTAGCCCATTCTTATTTGACAATTTGTGATACATACCGTAGATTACAAGGTAAAGTTATTACTACAGATAAACCTTTAATTAATAAAAACTTAATACCCACCACTCTGGTAATACTTGGAGTCATGGGTCCAGCGGAAGCCAGTGCAAAGACCAAAGTCGGTCAGCTTTATGTGTCCATCTCGGTCTATGAGGATGTTGTCAGGCTTGATGTCTCGGTGGATGAAGCCCATCTTGTGAACGCTCTCTACAGCGCAGGTGAGCTCTGCAATGTAAAACTGGGCCAGCTCTTCTTTAAAGATGCCGAGTCGAATAAGAAGGCTCATCATGTCCCCTCCAGGGATGTACTCCATAACAAAGTACAGGTTGTCCTTGTCTTGGAATGAATAGTAGAGGCGCACCACCCACTCGTTATCGGCCTCAGCCAGTATGTCCCTCTCAGCCTTGACGTGAGCCACCTGGTTTCTCAGCAGCACGTCCTTCTTGCGGAGCGTCTTCATGGCGTACAGTGCTCCCGTGTCCTCTTTCCTGGCCAAGCACACCTCACCGAAGGCTCCAATGCCAAGCGTCTTGATTCGTTTGAACATGGACTTATCCATCTTGGCCCGCTTTAGCCGGATGTAGTTAGATTCCTTCTGACAGAGCATCATACGCATTTGCTCTTGGGCTTCTGAAGACAAACCCACCTGAACACAGCAGAAAGTCAAAAGTCAGCTGTCATATCCAACATACAACAGCCAAATAATCCAATAAAAAACACACACATCTACTCCTGGTTAGAAATGAATGCCATTGAGAGAAACAAATGAAAACTATTAAGGAAATTAAGGAAACCAGTGCAAAATGCATTTTAAAAATTTACTGCAGACGCAAACATACAATATCTTCCTGAAGTGTTAATCACCACATTATTAAAAAATAAATAAAAAATACAGAAACAGTGTCAGGATCAGTAAGATGGAGGTCATGGAGTGGCATGCATCCAACATGCTTTCATCAGAAGATGCAGTACATATAAAATACAAACATCAGTCTCTCAGCACCACCTTACTTGAATGGCTTATGTGTGTGGACTGTTTTGTGTCACAAGACAGCAGATATACCTTTACCTTTTAGATCAGCTGTTAGTGACAGCAAGGAGAGAAAAAGAAAGAACAGCTAAGAATAAACAGAACAGCATGAAAAAGACCAAAGTCAGATAGCATAGTGATGACAAGATAGTAAAGTTTGGAAAATAGCAAAACATGAAGGAAAGTCATTTAAAAGTGGTCAGAAAATTCTTTCTCACCCTTTGCATCTCATTTTCCAGCTGCTTCCTCCTTCGAATCCGCTGCTGATGGTTCTTCAGGATGTTCTCTACATGCTGTTCCATGAAGAACTTAAAGGCCTGGGGAGAATACAGATTAACTCTTCCGGACTCGCCCCTCCGCTCTTCGTCTTTCTTGTTGCGGCGGACAGGAACAGGTGATGTTGTGATTTGCTTCTTCTCCTTCTCTGTTGGTACAGTGCTCTCAGGACTTTCTGATGTCTTGTCTCTTGTGTTTTCACCGCTGCTGCTCTCCTCTTCAGCAGGCTCCTCTCTACCTGTGCCAAGCTTATTGGCCCCTGCATCGTATGCTGGGGGGCAGGGGGCCGCCTGCTGCTGGAGGAGGTGCTTAGGGTAGGGTGGAGGGGGCCCCTGGTAGCTGGGAACCTCTGCTACAACAGGGATCTGAGGGACAGCAGCTGAGGGTTCTGGGTAGGCAGGTGCAGCTGTAGATGGAGGTACCTGCTGCAGCCACGGAGGGTGTGTGGGAGCGACAGCAGTGTGTAGTTCAGGTTTCTGGACACGCATGCTTTTGACTGGCTGCAGGATAGGAGCCTGTGTGATGGCAGTGACAGTGGTAGCAGAGGGCTGGGAGCTGGCTGGGTGAGCAGGTCTACTGTTCAGCTGGTGGTTGTTGAAAGAATTAGAGCGGACAGGCTTGTTGTGCTGCCATGACGGGGACAGATCCTGGTTGCTGCTGTTGCCAGAAGAAGACTGGGGTTGGTTCGAGGCCAGAGGAGCCTGGGACCAGGGCTGAGGAGGACCGATACTGTACATGTCGAGGTTGTGACTGTTCCGGTTGGGAACCATCATGGACTGAGGAATGTTGCCACCGTTGACATATGAAGGAGACGATGCAGGTCCACCTGCCTGCATCTGCTGATCAGTGGGACTGTGTCGGCTGCTCTGGTTGACCGGGTAGGGGGGAGGGGGCTGTCTACTGCCTCCTGCCATGTAGTCAGGCTGGGGAGAGCCATTCTGAGACCAGCTAGAAGGGAAAGTGAACTTACTCCCCCCAGGGCTTTGCATTATGATGGGCTGGTGGCCGACAGGTACTGGGCTGATCCCACGCTGATTCTGAGGTGGTGCAGTCGGGTACCCATCAGGCCAGGCCCCCTGGGGTACTGGAGAGATGCGGGGCACAAGGTAATCCATGTTTCCAGAGTACCGCTTGGTTGATGGGTTGCTGTCCCAGGATGATGCAGGAGGCATGGGAACACGGTTTGGTGGAGGTGTGACACTGCGAACCTGAGGAGGCAGCGGAGGGTTAACTCTCTGGCTGTTAGCAGGGTGGCCCTGTGGGAAGGCAGGAGGCGGTCCAGGACTGTCTGAGCGGTACATCATTCCATCCACCATGAGAGGACCGTGTCGTGGAGCCAGAGACTCCTTAGAGCCTTTCCAGCTTGGCCTCCTCAGCACAGCCTGCTGGATATGAGAAGCTCCTACGGAAACAACAAAAAAACACAATCAAGCTGAAGGGAAGAAGGGATGAAAAATAACTTGTAGCACCTTACAGCTGACATAATTAAAACCAATGCCCATGTAAAATTATTTCTATTAGATTGAAAAAAATCCAAGAATCAGCAATTAATTTTGGTATACACAAAGTTATTTGGAATGACGACAAGAGGTGAATAACACTGCTTATTGTAAATACCTATGAATTTAGAATGTTCTGGTATTTGTTTTTGCAATACCATAACATTTGTAATTAGAGAAAATAACATCTGTTGTTAATAAACAGATACAACATTTTCCTTGTGTGGACCATTACTGACATTGTAAATGAAAATCAAAACCCTCTACTCAACTTTTTCTACTAACTGATGCAGTGACTCATACTCTTTGTAACCACCTATTGTTATTTCTTTAAGCAAATGTCCCAAATCCTGCAAACAATATCAAGGTTGAATGAACAGGTCTGGATGGATGATAAAAGAGGAGAACCACTAGTTAATCCCAGTGGACTGTTTACATACCTGGGGCTTTCAGGCCTGTAGTGTTGGGGTTGGCAACAGCCATCTGTTCCCTCATTGAGTCTTGGTAGCTCACCTTACCCGTGTAGTCTATAATCATCCCAACACCACGACTGCTGCTTGGCTTAAGAGGCAAAAGTAACACAACCGACATTTAGAGTTTGGGCAATCAAAGTGGGATTAGATGCAATTGAGCTGTAATTACATTTAATAAACATTTTATTTATTTATTTTTTGCTAAACAAGTCATTTAAAGAGTCTGAGGTGTAACCTTGTACAAAATAAGACTAGCCTTGAAAATTAGAGAGGTGGACGATTTTACTTAAAATACTACTTTAGTACAATTAGTCAGTGATCAGAAGAGTCAAACTTCTAATCAACCACTTGCTGCAGCTCTGAAATTCCTGTCCAACACAAATTGTAGAATTATTTGTTACAGCTGAACACAACAGCGCTGCATACTGTTCCACCTGTTCATACCTGGACTGCACACACACACGCAAAACAAGTGGCAACTGCCAACTCAGAAACTACTTTGGTATTGTCAACTGTACAAGCTTGCCATTCCACTTTGCATACCTTTCATTTTCCACATAATTCTCCGGTAAACAAAGGGCACCAAGTTATTATGCTCTATTACAGAGATATGCATAGAATGACATTATTCCACAATCCTTCACAACAACCAGTATCACACTCATCTCACCTCCTCAAACGCAGGGGGTTCCAGCAGCATGTGTTTGTTACCATCAGAGCCTGAAGCGCTGGGCTCATTGGCAAAAGGCAACAGGGACTTGCGGATCTCCTGTAAGACCTTATGGTGGGGATTTTTGGGGTTGCTGCAACGCCCCTGTTGCCTTTGATCCTCAGGATGCATTTTTCCAGGTCCACTAATGTCCACTTTAGGTGGGTCAGAGGGCTTGGACAAGTTACGTAAGCTGTTCCGTATTTCCTGCAGCATTTGTTGGCTGTTGCCGCTGTAGTTGCTGGCGGGGAATGTTTTGGGTCTCATCTGTCTGTATCCTTCGGGTTTCTCTCCTCTCTTCATGTAAGAGCATGTATGATGACAACGAAGGGAATGAAGAGGATGTCACCAGTCCAGGGTTGCAAGGATAGCAAGGGTATCCGATGTCTGACCTCACATCTGCATGCTCCTCCTGAGAAAAAAAAAACAAATAGGAAAAACCAATGTCAGTTGTACTACCAGTGTAGCTGTCATGTTATCCGACAGGGCAAATGAGACTGAACGAGTAGTAATAAACAGATACACGTTAGATTATTTAGTACTTAACGTGGTAATATGAGCCATTCACTGAAAAAAAAGTTTAATTTCACTTGATCTGCCATTTCATTTTAAGTTCAACCCGTTGTACGAAAATTAAAATGAACGAAACCTGCCTCAAAAGAAACAGTATCCTTGCACAAATCAAGACCTCTTCCACTTGTTAGCGTCGTTAGCATTGTACGCTAACAGAGCGCTACTTTAATGCTAATTCCCTTTAGTAGGGAATGGTAACAGTACATGCTAAAAGTGTTTGTCATGTTCGCCGAGATACTTCCACTACTTAGCCACCCACGACTTGCACACTGTAGTTAACACAATTCTAGTTTCCATAAAACGAGACGGCGCAGCAGAGCCTCCGCGGCCTGTGTGTTAAAGGCATCCATTTGCTGCTAGGCTAATTCAACAACAGGTTGCGAATTAGCCTGCTAGCTCCGAGAACACAACTGGCAACAGCTAGCTGAGTTGGACAACTTACCAGCGGCTGTAGCTGCCACTTTCCTCGACACTTTTCCTATTTTAGCAACTAACGATGGTTGCTTGACCTTTCTCGGCGACAAAGACGCGGTTTTAAGTCAAAAATGCCCTTGTTGTGCCGTGCTGGCTGGTTCCTAGTCGTGTTGAATTCCTGGGATGTCTGAATGACAAGTACAACAGCGTCAAGGTAGAAAACAAACCGACAACAATCACTTCCGGTGACTGCAGCTTCAACAATAAAACAAAAATCTGTCCATTATTTAGAATTAATTTAGATCAAAGGAAAATATTGGGAATCCCTGGATTCGTTTGGCTTTTCATGTGCAATTCATACTGTAAACATTTTAATAACTCTGATTTAAAAACTATGTATAATTGATACTGCAGGGACTTAGCCTTAATACAGAATTTAGACTAGATTACACTTAACTTTATTGTCAATACACAGACTAGAAGTACTATTGCAACGGAATGCAGTTTATTATCTAACCAGAATTGCAAAAGAAACAGTAAAAGTGCAATGCAATGTGAAATTCTATATGAAAAAAAACAAACTTTAAAGACAATATGAATGTAATGAATGGAAGATATAAACAATATAAGTAGTATTAACAGTATAAACACTGCATGTAATTATAAAGGAAATACAAATATCCAGATTATATATAAGGACGTTTCTTTTCAAGTTAATTTGTATTTTTGATAGTTCAGCAGGGTTTTACTCCTTAATATTTAAAGAAGGTAAATTCAATTAATTAAAAAACATAGTAGAGATAAACACAGTAGATACATTCTAACACTTTCTCTTCATTTTATTTATTGTTCTTGATGTAAAAAAGTCACCTGAAAATCATTGTTTTGTACATTTGACATAAATGATAAAGATCATATGTAAAATGTAAATACAAATGTGCAAACAACAGTGCAGGCACATAAAACAGTTTTCAAAAATGTTTTTTTTTTTTATTTTATTTTAAATTTTAGGAGAATCTCAAGACACAATCAAAACCAGTGACTAAGGATGCAAACATAACTGATCTCTCAAAATGTTATCATGTTAGAGCTTTGATTTTAAAAGAAACACCAGAAGTCCCACTGGGATAATCATTAAGTAAAGCCTGGGAAACTTCACACAAGTTACTCAGATGCTGTTTGTAGAACTTTTCAGCCTTCACTTCACACCTGCACCATTTATTTACCTGTAAATAATTTACTTATTACTTTATTTACTCATATCTAATCAACACCACTGATCCGACCAGGTAAAGGTTTAATGTTTTATTTACAGCATCTGCAGTATTTTAACTTCACTAAGGGCTCAAGTAGTGCTGGTGTTGTTGTTTCAGCCTGCGATGGTCAACTTTGAATTTCTGTTTCAACAAATCAGTCAACAGAGTCTTGAGATATTCATATATTTTTTTATTTTTAGGAAAAGAAAAAAAAACAGTTTTATATGTCTTTTGTACAAAACGACTGTTAAACTGAAGAACTCTGCCTGGAATGATTTACAAAAACGCTTGATCCATGATGATCCATTACTACAACTGCAACTTACGAATGAAGCATTGTGTCAGACACAAGTAACGCCAAACGTCTTAACATACAGCATTTTGGGCATCCTGTATGATTCAAAGACACAATAAATCTTCTGTTGTGAATGAAACTGACATCAATAAACATCTTCATCCACATCTTGTGCATTGCACCAAAAACCCTTTTAAACTGAAACCTGTCTGTTGACAAAAATAGCCTCTCCGTCAGTCCCACAGACAAGACACTGTCCAAGTACATCCAAGCTGTTGACGGACAGCGTCTGGCTGGGCAGCATGTGACTCGTCTCCAGACGGCCTTTACTGGAGTCTCCACTGAGCCAGGCGCTGATGAGGGACTGATTCCCTCCAGCTGGGGCCATCGCACTGCGAGACATTATGCTGCTGTTCCTGCCACCTGAGAATACAATAAAATTAATTATTAAATTAGAAGTTCATTATGACAGCTGTACTGTTGTATACTGATTGTAGCTTTCCTAGCATGTCAATATGCCATCTTTTAGATCTTGGCTGACTGTCAGTTTGTCTAATAAGCAACAGATAGCAGGTAAAGACATTAAACATACACACATCCTATGACTAAGTTCATTGTGATGTCATGTATGGTTATCGATGCTTGCTGCAGCTGTTTGCCGATAAAATTTGGTGACTGGTTTAGAATTTGGGAAGCCAGAAGTCATTGTTAACAGCTAGAAATGAAAATACTTGAATAAAATTCAGGATGCAAAATACGCCGTTTGAGCATTGACACCGTATTGTGAGTTTGCTGGTGTGCAGGTTCCATGTGTTCGTGGCTCACAGCAAAGTGAGCCTGGAACAGGAGAGAAACAATGAAAAGGAAGATTTGATTGCAAAAAAGGAACATGTCATTTATAGAGCTGCACAATTAATGAAGAGAACATTGGTAAATAACAACACACCTGCACACCATTTTCACTCTAACCTATAATGCTTACACTACATAACGGGTGAACATTGTAGTTATACGATGGTAAAATCTAACCTTAAAATCTTCTGGATTACAACACCAATGGCTTTCACAGTGCATCTTTGTTGTAGCAGAAATGACTAAAACTTTCTAAAAGGTTCAATACTGGTCGAATTTACCAGCAGCAGCAGAAAAGTCTGTAAAAACATCATGTCATCATCCTTAATTTGACTTGCCTTGTAAGAAGGAGGGCATGTCTGAATGTGAGGAAGTCTCCCAGTGCAGCAGTGAGCCATCCTCTGAACACGTGAACAGATGATCCGGGTTGGTTGGGTGAAAGTGGACTTCCCACACTGTCCAGAAATGCAAGGAAAAACATATATAAAACATAGTAAGAATTATGTGCATGCATGACATCTCTGAAATTAACTTTTTATTGTCGTATGGGTAAATTCATTTATCTGGCCACAATGAATCTTACTTTCAGCAGAGTGTGCCTCCATAAGTGAGAAGGGCGCGTTGCCTTGTCTCACATCCCAGACACACAGCATGCCATCCTGGCCTCCTGTCGCCACAATGTGCTGTTGGTTTGGATGTCTGTCCACACAGTGCAAAGGAACTCTATCCCCTGACCTTGTGAAAACAAATAGAAAAACTTAAAAAAAACGCCAAAGAAAGAATCACGCTCTCAAACCAGAATTTATTTTTTTTTAAAAACAGATCTTACAGGGAGAGAATCTGGGAAGGTGAGTTGCTTTGTTGCCTGATATCCCACAGCTTGAGTTGGCCGATGGAGTTTACTGTCAAAATCTCTGTTGTCCTCAGGTAAGTCACAGCATGAATTGTGCTGCTGTCCGCATTCTCTAGCAAAGGTTAAACAGTTCAATAAACAAGTTAGTGTCAACTTAGTTCGCGAGTGGAAAATGCTATCTCGTGCTAAAAAACTAATTCTGTCTGCATTTTAACATGACGGTCTGGCTACTGCAGCGTAATCTTAATCTCACCTATGACTCGAATCACTCCCTCCTGGTCGGCTCTGAAGACGATGATCCTGCCATCTTCACCGACTGTAACAATTTCAGGACTGCTGCATACAACACCAGTGCATGGAGCGTTGTCACAAGGATAACGATGCGCTCTTGTCCAGTGCTGAACAACTGATACTGTCTGCAGTCAACAGAAAGGAGACGCAAGAAATTCAACCACAAGTATGCTGCATATCTCACTGCACAGTTCGTCTAACATTCCCTTCCTTGAACTGCATCATATTTGTATCGCAGCCAGTCACAGATCAGGTGCTGTCCTTAGTTAAAGGTCACATATTGTGAAAATGTGTTTTGATTGTGTTTTGGTGTGTTTTATAGACTTTCAACTGCCTTTCCTTTAGCTCTCCCACAACTAGATGGCTTCCCAGCTGCACATACCAGTAAGATTTTTATTCAGTTTCTACATTTGGACTGGAAAACCAAAAGTTGTCAAACAAACAGAAAAAAATGTAATTAAAAAACAATGGCAGTAGACTGAGCTTTTCAAAGGGACCTTAAAGACACAGGAGCTTGAACAGAGTACTTCAGACAAAGGCTGAGCAGGGGTGCTGCAGCTATGTCTGCTATTAGAGATATATATTGTATGTTGCTTATATATAGTTTTCTAAACATAAAGCATATGAACATATTCTGGTAGATCACAAAAATAAAATCACTAACCTGTAAATAAGCATGATATGGACTCTTTAAGCTTGATTTGAAGCCAATAAACAAAGACTGGGTGGGTGACTCAGTCACTATTGGCCCTTTACTGCTGTTGTTTGCTGTGCTCCTGCTCTCTGTGCTCACATATGCTGTATTTTAATGCAAATGAATCCCCAATAGAGCTGTTCTCACTTACTTATTTTTCTGTTTCTGTTGTCATACAACAAAACGAGCAGGGCTCCAGACTGCGGCCAAAAAGGTTGCTCTTGCGACATTTTTTTGAGAGTGTGCGAGTTAAGAGTTCAAGTGGTCCCATTGGTGCAAGTGCATGATGATTATTAAGTTGTGTTAGTGTTGCTGTAATCGTAGACCGCTGCTGTGTTAAACACAGTGGTGGAAAGCAGCACTTTTATAACTTCAGCATACTGCGGTATTTACGCTTAAAAATGCCGTCTTCTCGTGAAAAGTGGAGCACACCTACATGAGCGGTTTTTTCTGCTCATAGAAAAGACTGCATGTAGAAAAAAAAACACTTGGTTGATCTTGGACAAATCTGACACTAGAATGCACTAGTTTACTCTTTTCAGAACATTTTTTTTGTCACACACCGGTCTGAGCACTGCAGCCACCAAGCAGCAGCTACCACAGCCTGCAATGTGGGCCATTTAGGGAACATCAGTAAAGTAATTGGAGTGTCTACCGATAAGAAAATGTTCAGCAAGTGATGTGCTTTGCCTGTGACAAAGTGGGAAGGTGTGAACAAATGAGAAAGTTGGTCGCACCAGTGCAGCCAGTGAAAATTTCGTATACATTTGTCTCGCACAGGAGTCACCCTAAACATGTGACATCCATAACTGTATTTTCCCACCACATTCTTAGTTATTTTTCATTTATATTGCCTAAGTTTCAATCAAAAATTGCATTTTCACTTAGTAGAACAATGATAGGAATGTCTCTACCTGTGATGTGGATGCTTGTAGTTTGTAGAGTAGTTATGATGACCTTGTACATAAACTAGATCTGTGTAAACACACTGTATGTAAAACCTGATGGTACCTGACTGTTTTGGTGATGGCGGAAGACAGTGACTGCTCCCGTCGATGATGCTGTGACGATTCTGTCTTGGTCCAAAAACTGTAAATAAATAACAGAAACAAATTGGGCCTGGTTGTTGGAGGTATTCCTCTAAAGCACACGTATTAGAGTCAATATAGATGCCACATTAATGTACAGTACATTTTTAAAAATCCTTTTATCCTGGTAAACTGCATTCATGTATTTCTCAACAGTGACAAATTCATACAGTTATCTTTTGTAAGAACATAGCCTTGTTTGTTTAAGTCAGACCAAGTCCAAATCAAAGTCGACAATAAATGCTATCAAGTAGTGACTGTAGTTCAGTGAAAAGCCAAATAATCCCAGTTTAATTTTTACAACACTGCAACCACTATAGGTTTGTCAATTAGCTTCACATTGCATCAGGTGTCTTACCTGAAGGTCGAGGACATCTCCATCGTGCTTGTGTTCACATAAAAGCTGCGGGTCTCCTTCAAATCCATCTTCCATAGCAGAACCTCCATGACTCCCAATGGACCAAAATGAAATCTTGTTGAGCTGTAAGAGACAAACATTACGGGTAATTAAGCAGAATTCCAACAAATGTTGTCATTGCAATGCTGAAACTGACCAGAGTCGGTCATTATTTTACTTTCTCTCAAGGAAATTTAGCAAACACAGCAACAATCCAGGTTAGCTGCCTTTAAGCATGAAAACAACGTTGTTACTTTACCGTAAGTCACATCTCAGATACAAATTTAACATGCTCATGTCGTGAAAACTACACAGTAAAGTTAGTGTCATGTTACTCTAATGGACACAAAGTGCGTAAGTCCTCCAACAAGCAAAATATGTAGAACTGTGTCATTTTTCAAAGAAGTTTGGCGCGACGTGGGCTCATTCTCATCCAACGTAAATATGAAGTGCCAACTTGCTCACCTCGTTGTCCCACGAGCCAGTCGCAAAAATATCTGGTTGCTGCAAAGACGAGTGCGATACTGGCCGCCATCGCGTCTTGCTGATTTTCTGGGACACGTACTTAGCATTTATGCTCTCCATTAAAACAGAAATCGCTTTTCCTTCTTAAAATAAAAATTGACGTTAGCTTAGCATTCATGAACAAGACTGAAATGTACGCGCCGGCTACGCCATACGTAACTACGGTGGCCCTGTAGGACCAAACCACGAGCTTTTCTCACAGTCGCTCTCTAACTTGTGACGCACTCCACCTAGCGGCTGCCGTTTATGTTACTGCGGCAAATCTGATAATGCACTGAGTGAGGAATGTGGCTTATTCCCTGCAACTAACATTGGCTTAGGCACATATCCATACAGATTTAATTGTTTCTATAAACTATGGCTCTGTGGTGTGTGAGGGCGTGTGTTTGAAAGGCGGCCCTGCAGTAAAATCATTTGGATGTCTGGTGACGTATCCGCCGCTCCGCCGTCTGCTCTGGAGGTTGTCAGCTTCATCGGCAAAACAGTTGGCGCAGGCGCGGCACTGACAGCTGCTGTCTACTTACTCCGCAAAGTCTGTTTAATAATGGCCTGGAAATCTGGAGGAGCCAGCCACGCAGAGCTTGTCAACAACCTCCGTAGTAAGTACGAATGCTTCGTTAAGCGACAGCACCGACGCCTTCACCGACACGTCGCTAGAAATCGGTTTAGTTTGAAGGCTGGTGTGAACACAGGAGCGGCAGCTAGCTGGTTGCTAAGCTCTGTGGTATGTTGTTGTGACCTAGCGTTACCTTCCTCCACCCCTTTCTCGGACCACGTTTACGCTTAGTACAGATGCATGCCTCCGTAGTTGCAGAAAAAAAGAAACATTAAAGACATGAATTACCTCTTTATTGTGCTTGAACATAGAATATTTGTGCAGCTCAGTTGTGTGTGGAGTTGGCTTAGCCTGCTAGCTCTATGTGCGTCATTTGGGACGTTGTAGCTAGCTGTAGCAGCACTACCAGCGAGCAGCCGTGCCCACTTTCATTGATGGCTGTCTCTATCATTCACTGTGCTTTTACGTGAATGGCAGTGGCAGCTGTAAACGTGAGGCTCGTTTCTACAGCGCCTTTGTTAGCGGGTGATTGAAAACGACAACTTGCTGTGTCACAGCGGCGGTTAGTTATTTGCTGGCTGCAATGAACGAGCAGTGACTCAGTGTGCCACCTTATTAGACGACTGGTATGTGGTGCGAAGTCCACTACGATCGATGCCATCCACATGGTTTTATCTGCAATCAGATGGTAGTGCATTAGGTGGTAAATACAAAAAGTCAGGCCTATACAACTACTGTAATAACACTCTGGCTCTGCTGCTTCTTCCATGCACATCACCAAATGACGTTGATTGTGATGATATCTGCAGACTTGAAAGTGCAAGTCCACATTCAATATTAAGTATCTACCGGGTCTATTTATATTCTGTGCTGTCCAGCAGAGCGTTGCAAGCTGCAAGCATTTTGCCAAAAGCTGCATGGTTTGGGGTGCAGTGCCTTGCCAAACTAAATAATGCTAGAAAGATTCTCTATCCCAGTTTATTATTGACCAAATGTTGCAACTGGTGAAGTAAAAAAAAAAAGAGATCCAGTATATAAAGAAGTTTAACCAAATTATTTGCAGGGAATGCATTTTATCATATATAAATATGTAATAGTAAAACAGTTAAATGCTGAAAATCAGCAAGTACAATTTAAACAAATTAGCCTCTCACCAATGACTTTGCTCATAAAGTCCCTTCAGGATGTCTGTTGATGATGCAGGTCATTTTGTATCATCGGTACAATAGCACATTTTTCAAGTGAAACCTTTTCTTTCTTAGTTAATAGTAGTTGTGCTAATTAAAGCAAATGTAGTATTATTATTTAATTTGATGTGTTTTATGTGACTGTTACTTTGTTCACTTAACTGGACACTGACCCATTTAGGTGCACGAATGGCTTAAATTTAACCCTGAGTTTGCATAAGCTGCATTTAAGCAGGTCACACGCAGGATGCATGCTAATTCACGTCTTTTCTTATTGTCTCTGTCCTCCTGGTCAGTGCTCAGGACTGGTCAGCACAGGCTGTCATAGTTGTTTTTCAAACCTCGAATACCTCTTTAATTTTTAAGGTTCACCACCCAGTTGCATGCTGCAGTCAGATGTGCCTCCAAATTATACACGAAATGGTCGTATAGCCCAAAAACAGCATTACATTTCTGTTGGTATATTGGCAAAGACAAATTTGAATTGTGAGAATAATTACAGTTAGGAAGCAAACAGCTTGAGATGTGCCAGTATGGGTTATTTTAATTTCAGAAATCACTTGTAGGTGTCCATCTGGCAGCTTGTATGGTTTATTTGTAATGTATCCTAAAGCGGCGCATAGCTCTAAGGATGGGGGGGAGGCAGTAATGAGAGCAGCACCGGCTGTTGTTGGCTTTTCCTGCCTTTGGCTCAAGCTGCTACAGGAACCTGTTAGGAGGGGTTATATTGAAGACACTAACTCTTTGCATTTCTGGTTCTTTCCATGACTCGTCTCCAAGCTTTAGTGCTTTTCTGTTGCTTACATACATTATATGTGATAACCACAAGTGTTGCCTGTACTTGGGAAGCATGTTTTATTTCATCTTGTATTTTTCTAGAATATTTTCAGGTTTTCATATTTGGCATATTGTGATTTGTATGCCTTGTATGTTTATGTTGCTAGTTTGTGCCAATGTATAGGTTGTATCATGTGCCATAATACAGGTGAAATCCTCTGTCACAGTATGGGCGATCTTACATCACAATATCAATATGTATTAAAATATAATACATTTGCTGAGAAAATAAGTAAGGACACAGTTAAAAGGTAAACAACACAACTCATACAGGAATGGCTGTTTTTGGCTGATCAAGTGAATTAAAAACCTGACAAATTAAGATACACCATCAGTAAAGGTACAAAGTTTATATAAACTTTAGTTTTTGCCTCAAAGCGGTCTTGATTTGGAAAAATGTCCACAATATTCTTAAACACGCAGACGTACAGTTTGTGTGGCTTTCTGTAGGTGCTAGCACCTGGGTGGCACATAGTCCTGTATGTATGCTGCAGTCTTCTGCTCATCCTTTATTTTTCTCTGACGTTCTCATGTTTCTTGGCATATTGTTATTTACGATTTAATTTTTGTCCCTCATAAAAATGTTTTAATTCCTTCGTGTCTCAGTATTTTCTGCTCCTTATTTGCTGTTCCTTTATTATAGACGCACTGTTATGTTGTTGTTAGTTTATGTGTGCCAGTGGCATAGGCTGATCCATGATAACAGTATGCACAACTTTATATTAAAATGTGGACACAAGAAATGACTGGAAAAGTTATTTGAGAAATAGGTATATTGGGTAAAAAAAAATAGATCTGACAGGATTGTCTGTCCAGATGCTGGACAAATTACCACAGTGACTCCAATCTGTGTATTTCCAATTTACCAGAAAGCAGACTGGGGTATTCATTTAGAGAACTGCCCTCAATGGTCTAATACACTGAGCATTACAAAGGTATCAGCTCTGATAATTGACAAACTCTCACAGCATGTGTCATATTACCAAAGCGCAAATGTACGAGTCATTGTAGTCGTGTTGTTGTGCTTAGTGTCCCTGAATTTACTCTGTTTTTACCTCTGAGTTATTTCTTGTTTTTACCTCTGACTTATTTCTTTCATGTATATTTTATCTGGGTTTGATTCTGCTGCATGATTATGTAATCGTTTTCTGCCAGTGTCTCCATAACCCACAGTGACACAAACTCTTATGCATCCTCAGAAAATGGCATTATTAAATCCGACAATGTCTATGAAGTCATGCTGGCCACAGACCGAGCACACTTCTCTAGGTGTAATCCTTACATGGACTCACCGCAGTCAATAGGTATGTCTGCTCTTGTAATCATTCATGCATCGCAGCACAGCGCAAAACCGTTCTGAGATCTGAGAAATGAACTAACCTAATCTGTGCCTCCCTCTTTACCAAAAGGCTTTCAAGCAACTATCAGCGCCCCACACATGGTATGAATTTAAGGACTTTCAGACATTTCTGCATCCTGTGAATCACAGTTTTTTGTAAAGCTTGCTCCCATTCAGTCACTGCTAATTTGCTATTTTTACTTAGATGATAATGAAACCTTAGCTATTTTATGTATTTGTGTTCAATGTTGGCATGTTAGATTGTGATATTTGTCAAAACCTTAAGCAAACTAATAAAATGAATCAAAGCTTTGTACAGCTAACAAACAGAAAGAGGCAAGCAGTGATGTCAGTTGGCTAGCTGCACCTCATAGATGTCCTGGGTTTAACCTACTGCTCGCCAGTGTTAGCTTCAGTATGAATGTTGACTGAGGGACTATAATGTCGTTTTCTTGTTGATGCCCCCCCCTCCACCCAGCACGCATATGCCCTGGAGCTTCTACATGATCAGCTGTATGAGGGAGCCAAAGCTCTGGACGTCGGCTCTGGCAGTGGAATCTTGTCTGTTTGCTTCGCACGAATGGTGAGCCACATATATGACGGGTAAACACATACAATTTCTCCTTGGTGTCAGTCTGATTTATTACACTGGTCGACACATTTATGTGTCAGCCAATCAACATAAAATCTGAAAGAAAGAGAAAAAAAAATGTGTGTAATGAGGTGGAATTCTTGTATGAACTGATCACTTTCCCTTTTTGTGCTTTACAGGTAGGTCCAAAAGGGAAAGTTATAGGAATCGATCACATCAAAGAGCTGGTAGATGATTCAATAAACAATGTGAAGAAAGATGACCCCAGTTTGATAACATCGGGCCGAGTCAAGCTATTAGGTAAGATTGTCCTGGATGCAACATTATGGTGTTTAGTATTCGCTCTGTCATTAGACTTTTTTGGAAATAGTTTGAAAGCTTTCTATATTTTATAAAACAAGAGACACTGGAACGGTCATCACAGTGGAGAAAACCATACAGAAGCTCAGTAGGCAGCGTGCAGCTCTAAATAATTGAGCAGTGAGTACCTGCTTTCACTTTCTCTGCAGGAAGATTGAAGTGCTGCAACAACGAGGTCAACAGACACTCTGTATTGTATGGTTTTACAACTTCAGTGTTTCCGTATTTTCCCCCTGTGTTTTTGGATGTCTGTAAATTCCAATTTTGTAAATAATTTCGCTCAAGTGCAATTAACATTTTCTGCATACTTCTGTGTGTAATTTGTTGAAATTGGATTTTCATCTAACAGTGTTTGCAGAAACAGTTGGGGGGGGAATATTCCCAGCAGTGCAATAAAAGGCGGCACAACAGAGACAGAACAGAAACAACAGATTGAAAGGTGTAGGCTGAAACTTCAGCTCATTGCGCCCACCCTTTTGAACAAAACACAACCAATATTTTATGTCAAAATGTAACATCACAAGAAGAGCTTCTTTTGTTATTTTTGGCAGATGTCAGACCAAATCAGCTATTTTCAGATACCTTTCATGGAGCTGGGAGACTTATTGGAGTGCTTAATCTGTAATAAGTCAAAATACTGTCACATTACTCATACATTATTAAGGTAGTGAGGGAAGATGTTGACGTGTAGTTTTGTCAGTATCACTCAGCTGTTTACAGTATGAGTTTGAGGCATTTCTTAGTTTAAATAACGAGGTGAAAATGGAATCTGCAAGTTTGTTAATGAGGAACAGTACAGTCACATACAGCCTTCAAGAAGAGCTGTATATGACAACCTGGTGAAGACATCCATCAGTGCTGCATTGAGTTTGGCAGCCTGTGAGTGATGCCCTGGTGTGTGTTTCAGTGGGAGATGGACGATTGGGCTATGAGGAGGAGGCGCCGTATGATGCCATCCACGTTGGCGCAGCGGCACCTAATGTCCCCCAAGCTGTGAGTCTCTGAAAGTTTTGAACTCTGTTGATCAAGGCCACATATTCAAGATTGACAAAACACATTTAATGTATTTTGTGTTAAGAAATAAAAAAAACTCTTTACATCTACCTTGTGCCTCTTGCAGCTTCTGGACCAGTTGAAGCCGGGCGGCCGGCTCATTCTCCCCGTGGGCCCAGCGGGTGGAAACCAGATGCTGGAGCAGTACGACAAGATGGAGGATGGCAGCACCAAAATGAAGCCCTTGATGGGGGTGATTTATGTGCCTTTAACAGACAAAGACAAGCAGTGGTCCAGGTGGAAGTGACTTCCTTCTCCCCCTCCTCCCCCTCTCTCCTTCTCACAGTGGCAAAGGTGAAATGGTGTGGCTTGGAGCAGGCAATGGATCACAAGGGGCTGCATTTTGCTGCTTGTTGACATTTTTTGCTTCTTCCATACCATACCAACTCGCTGCACGTTTCCTTCATTTTATTTTAACACCAGTGTGAATTTGGTTCTGCCCAACTAATGCAGTTTATTCTGTTTGGGACCTAAACACGAGAGAAATAGCAGCAGTGTGAAGGCATATGCTTGGTTTTCAAAAGCATGACTGCTTTGTTAATTTGGATGCTTATTAGACAATAAAACTCAACCTCGATTTTTTATTTTTTATCTTCTCTGTGAGATGTAGAAAGAAACAGCTACTGTTTGACTTTTATCACGACAATGTATCGTAACATTTTGCATGAGATTCTAACTCTTAACTCTGTTTGCATGACAAGAAGGTGGCTGTTTCTTGCAGGTCATCATTGTCTTTTCTAACATTCAAATTCCGTGTCTCACAGGGATGAACTTTGAAGCGGAAGGCAGTCCATAATCCACCTTTAAGTTTGAACCTGGAGAAAACTTGGATGGGGGTCAGCCCTTGACATTTTGTTCAAAGCATAACAAAACATGCTCTTTTTGTTTTACATCTAACGAGGGACTAGAGAACCACACTGATGACAGCCCTGAGGGGCTGGGAAGAAAGACTGCTTGAAGCTCAGCACAGAAATATTGGAGAGAGCTTTTTGTTTTTCTTTTCAGGCCTGCATCCTCTTGGTTACATATTCTTTTTAACCGCTGGATTTTAGGTTTGTTTTTCTTTTGTGGTCTCACCATTTGAATTGCAATCAGACGTTTTTACGGCATTACATTTCAGCAGCATCAAAGCTGAATGTAGGAGGAACGCTGGACAACGAAGAAGAACGCCTGAGCCTTTTAGATAATTCACCTAGCTACAGTGTGTGTGTGCGTGTGTGTGGATCATCTAAGAGTAGACTTATCTGCTAAAATATGAGCTTTCTTCCCCTGCCAGCAGTATTACAAACACATACAAACACACACACACACACACACACACACACATATTCACACACATTCACAGGCAACACAATGGCTGATGTAACCCACACATCCTGTTTTATGTGCAGCACTCTTAGGTCATTCTACACATGAAATAAGCAATGCATCGGATCATACTGAACATACTCCAAAGAGAGCAGAGCACTAATAACACCGACACGCGTGCTTTCACTTGGTGACGTGTTGCTTTCTGCCGCTGGTTTCCATTTACAATTTGTGCAGGCTCTTCTGGTGACTGCCAGTAAATGGGATAGTCACTGCTTTGCCAAAATAAACTCCAACAATATTAAGCAAATGAATGTCTGTTTTCTTGGGAAAAAAAACATGGAATCAAAAAAAGCACATTTTATTTTGAGTGATCTAAGTTATGGATGCTATTTGGCTTTCACAGTTTCTGGAATGGCATATGAAAATAAAGAGATGCTTATGTTTTTGTCTTTCTTTTGTTACTGAATTTTTTGTGCACAGGCTGCAACAGATATTTTAGAATAGTGAAGTCAGGGGCACAGGACCATTCAACAGTCTGAAAATCTGCTCACCAAAATTAGTTTGTGAACATTTAAAATAATTTTATATTTAAATTTTAATTATATTACTTACAAAATCTAAATGCACCAAACTGCTAGGAGTACAATTAATAATTCTGGTAGAGAAGTTGTCCTTTGTTTTAACACTTTTTTTTTCCCTCTGAGAAAAGCAAAATTTAAAGATGGCAAGAATTATATCAATGTCTGATTGTAATTTCACACAAAATAGGTTAGAATTTGTCGGTGTTCAGTGAATGATGTCAGTCTCCATGGTAGTTAAATAATCTATAGAAGCAGTGAAGCTATTGCTGGCTCGTAAATTTCCTTGTCAACATAAATCACCAATATTTTTTTAAATATATAATAAACTTTAATATGCCACATGAAAGACAGCACTTTGAAGGAATACATCTGCGCAAATATATACGATACATCATCCAGATATGTTTCGTTAGTGAACAAAAATATGCAACAAAATATAGACAAGAATAGAAATTGACCAATAGAATTTGCTATGGCTTTTTATGATTCAGGCAAACTTTAAGAATAATAATTTCGATGATTTCTATGGTACTATAACAGGCACTCAAACACTCATGTTTCTGCCCTTCAGGCAGGTAAACTCAGGTGAGATGTACAGCAAAAATATGGCACATTAGTGCCACATAGTGGCAGAAACACAGCATATTTTGTGCAGCACTGGAAAGGACAACACATCACAAGTAAAAATAAAAGTTATATGAAAGTAACCAGTGTTTCAGGAATGAATGAAGTACAATAACAGGGATGAAACAGTCTCTCTTAATGCATGTATCAGTTTCAAACAAGGAATGTTGATATTTCATCACTGATTCTTAGTCAGATTTAAGACAACATAAATATGGACTCACAAGCATCTGAATATGTGTCACTGACTGCGAGGCAGCGTCTATCAGCAGCAGATTTACTGTACCAGTCAGAGGGGATCAGTGTGGGGGTGTTCAGAAACGTTCATGACAGCAGAGCGTTGGATGTTTCCAACCAGAAATGAGGATAAATTAGAGTTACTGGGCTGCAAGAAATATAGAGTGCAAATTCAGAACATCCTGGGTCAGGTCTCAGAGGGCGACACTCTCATTTGTTTCTCACATCTCTGCCTGGCTAATCAGCTACAGGTACATGCCGTTTATGAGGTAATCTGACTCCTCTGTGGTGAGAGGTCTCGCTTTCTTCAGCTTGTGACGAACAAGTCTGAGACGACAGCCGATCATGAGCAGCAGCAGAGCGGTGATGATCAGGCCGAGTGCCAGAGGAAGGATGGCACCTGGAAGAGGGATCAGAGACCGCGCACTAAAATTAGGAAGATGACTAGTAGAACAGAACGTTACACAAAAACAACGATACAACGGCTACATATAGACATGAACAGTGTGTCTGACCTGACTCTGGGACTGGATGTCCTCCCATTACTGGAAATGGTTTAGAGATGGAGGTGTCGCTCTCTGCTTGGCTCTGGGAGATTTTGGGAGCAACTTCAACAAAAATACAAATGCAGCTTAGATTAGTGAGCAGACAACTATTACCACTGTGTTACTGATATGTGTTTGAAGCTGTGATGACTTTACCTATGTCAGTCTGTTTTGTGACTGGAGGGGCTACACTCGCTGGCCTGAAAGCTGGACCTAAAACATGTTTTCAAGAATATTAAAATGACTGTAGTTTCATATTGTTACAATTGTCATATTAGGTAAAAAAAAAAAAAAAAGTTCTCACTTTTTTGTATACATTCACTGACACAATCAGATTCTTGAAGGAAGTTGTTATGGTTTCCTTGGCAACCACCGTACAGGAAGTGTTTACATTCTCCTGCATTTTGGTCATAGTACCACCGCGGGAAGTTGCCTTTACAGGGTCCGACCACTGGTGCTGCAGCACATGGATCTACGGGGACGAGACAAACGATACACCTGCATTAACAGCTGACATATTACTCTTCTTGTGCACTGATGTAGTCAGGGTGAAAAAATAGCGAGGTGTTGGGGGAGGAGTCAGCCCTCAGCACACTGGAATGTCAAAATAATATGTTGTTATTAGTTTAATTTTAAATTATGAACGCAAATAATTCGAAACAATTTGCTTAACTGACAGTGGGCAGGGTTATTAATTAGTAATTAATAAATTGTTAAAATATATGAAGTACAAAAAACATAATTTCATAATTTAGACTTCTGTTCTTTATTCAAATGGATTAATATTGAAATTACTATTGAATAAATCGTCGCTTATTTTAAAACTAATTAAACAAACACTAATAACACTACTGATGAATAAGACAGTTCACTGGAACAACACTGAAAATTAACATGCTTGGTTGTTGGTATTGTATTGTTCGTAGGACTTTGAGATTATTTAAGAAAGAGATGAACTGATGAAATGAATCATTACTTTCTGCCCTTGTGTCATTGATATAAGATACTAGATATTACCAGAGGTTAAAGCCACCTAGACAATGGTATTTGAGCTATTTTTCTTTTTACTTCTCTCTCTTTCTTTCTGCTAATTAGTCAGGTATCATCTTAGTGCGCAAAGCATTTGGTCATGGGACAAAGCATTTGTGAAATAAAGAAAAGACTCCTGAGAATGCACCTCGGGCATGTAATACCTATGGAAAAATAGCAATGGGGGAAGAAGCCCGTTTGGTGAGTCTTGGTCTGATTCAGGGATCAGATGGCGGAGGGGACAGAGGAGCTTTGTTCCAGCACTCAGAGGGGATGCAGGCACGGAGCTGCTTTCCCAGGGAATTCAGAGTGGCCCTGTGGCTTTGCCAGCATTTTGAGCTCAGTGCTATGACTCAATGGCTGCCTACAGGCTCCATCTGCTTCCATGTCCAGAAACACATTACAGCCCTTTCTGCTTCTTTACACAGTCATACTACACTGATGACACACGGACTGGACCATATTGTTACACAAACATTTTTAAAAGCAATGGAAACGGTTGCAGATTCCAACTGAACCATACATTTGGAACAACCACTTTATTTTGTATCATCACTACAGAGCAACATTCTATGATGTTGTAGAGTTACTCTTACTTCATATTATGCTGTTTTTGCCTCCCCAAACAGACTGCAGGGCGCTTTAGGCAGAAGCACCATCCTACCATGATTGACTGAAGCCCCCTGCTCACTGGGACTTTGTGGAGGAGCAGCGTTGCTCCGGTCCTGTGAGGGTACGATGGTCTTCCTGGGTCCAGCTGGGAGCACGGAGCCGTCCCTGGCCTCTTCTGCCTGGGCTGCAGGCTGTTGAGGGCTGGATGGGTCCACAGGGTGGGTCACTGATTTTCGGCTGCCGTCAACTACAAATAAACACAGAAAAAGCAGTCAGTCGTGAGGAAGTCTGTGAGTCTTTGCTCCCGTTTTTACTTCATTTTTGGTCAAAAGATTGAAATCCACTGATTGAAATAATGTAAAGGATTATGAAATGTTTCTATAATCTCCCTGCTCACTGAATCATGCCATGATAACAGAGAATGTTTCCTACAGTTTGGGCAGAAGTCTTCATCAGAGCGGTCTGGACAGTGTTGCTTCCCATCGCAGGCGTAGGTGATGTCAATACAGCAGCCGTCATCACACTTGAACTGGTAGTTGGAGCAGTGACCGGTGCACACTGTGGGCACAGACAGATTTAACTGCAGACCTTCTCTCTCAGCTGGTAAAGAATCCATCCATGTGAAAGACAGACTGGCAAGCTTTCATACACATGATCCCTGAAGTCACAACACAAACCAGAACAAAGACACATTTTGGTGAGTTCATTACCTTCTGCTTGGTGTTTGGGAGCCAGTACGGTGACGGAGACATTGTCTGAGCTCTTCTGTCCTGCGGTGTCGGTGACAGTCATCTGGAACGTGTAGACGCCTTCCTGGAGCCCACTGATCTTCAGCAGCCCTGGATGGGTCGCCTTCAAAACAAACACAGATCACATCTCTAATGGCTCTGACTTTAGCTGAGTCCAGCGTCATCATTCTCTTTCTTGGTGTTTGTAATTAGTTTCTTCATTATGTAATACAGCTTCTGGAAAACCAACTGAGAATTTGTTAACTTGACAGGTAGAAATGAGTTAATATAGGAAGTAATAACTGAAAAATCAAAGTACTTTATCACTTTCTATTTGCAATACAGTGACAGTCATGATCATTGTTTTACAGGATTGCTCACAATTACTTCATAAATCGTTTGGCGTTAAAGAGATAGTTACTGTAAAACAAAATTAAATACATACACTACAGTCCGTAGTTGCTGTGTAAAGGTTGCTGCGAAGTCTTTCCGCTGAGAACTATTTTCTGTTAAAGGTATAAAATACTGAAAACTGAGCACAGTTGAAAGTACAAATCTTGACATTAAAACAAGACCCACTATGGAAGACATTTCCCATCGCTCTAAGGTTACAAACAGAGGTCAGACTCTAACACTGCTGCTTGCCTTTGTGGCAGTTTGGACATAATGAACTCTTTTCCCTGTTGATACAGCGAAGTAATACGGAGCTCTGCACACAAGCCACCCTGTTGACTTAACTAGCATCTGGCAACTGAGGACAATTAGTGGCTATTTATATAGCAAATGATAATATTAGAGACATCTGATTCCTAAAGAGCAGAACAATAGAGCTGCTCCCGAGTATCTTCTTTAATTTGTATTCATTTATGTAACCTTTATTCAACCAGGAAGCCCGTTGAGATCAAAAGCTCTTTTTTCGAGGGAGACCGGGTCAAGAAAAGTTACAAAAAGTGATAAACTCGAGCATGACAACAACAGTAAAGCACGTTAAAACAACCAATAGACTAAAAATACACACAACAAAATCCAGCTTAGCGACAGCAACTGCAGTCTTCAGCTCCACATCTTTTAATCAGAGCTTTGAGCTCTCACAGGCAGATAAAATCGTGAATCTTCTGAGGGTTTTTTCATGACCACGGTGCAAAATAGGAGGAGGCTGTTTTACCAATTGCACAGCAAATCCTGGGCACCCTGTGCTGCAGCTGTTTAGATATGTTAGAATTATAACAGCTGTTGGTAAGTGATAGAAAATCACACAAGTAAGAAGCAGGTTTAGGACTCTAGTATTTTAAATAAAAATATATCAGTGCTGCTGTCTCCATGGTCCTAATGAAGGTCAAGATACCCGATCATTAAGAACAAAATGATGTGTAGAGTAGATGTGGTACACAGAATTTAGGCAGCAAGTAGAAGCAGCAGCATGTGTACAGAAAATGTCCTCAGTCTAAAACACAATCTAGCCTGCACAAGTGTTCTCCAAACTGCAAAATTAGGGCAGGCCCTATTTTGATAATAAAAACCCCAAATAACCTCCTTTTTGTTCACAAGATGCTCAACATAAACTCTAAAATCTTAATTTGCTCGTTCAGTGTTCGTTTCCAGTGCAGCTCGGTGGGATAGAATCACTGTCACTGCTGGAGGTTCAGGCTCTCATTCTCACCTGGGTTAAAATTACATACTTTGGTTTAATTTGTACAAAGCCAACACCGACCTTCATATTAATGGCAGTGTCCCCTTTAACAAGAGTCCATTCGTAGCGGCTGACTTCATGGTCGTCCACGCTGTCCCGGCCGTCCAGCACGGCCCAGTCTGTGGGCAGCTGGATCACCACGTCCTGCCCGGCGTCGCTGCGAGGAGGCTCATCCACATCTGCAACACCAGACCCCGGTTAGATGGAAGCTATGTACCACATGCATGGAACTTTACCCTCCACTTTTAGCATTCATTCTTGCTTTGTTCTACAGAGTAGGATGACTTCAGGGTGTACATTTTGATATAGAAGATTGAAAGGCTTTTGGTAGTGACTAATCAATAATTAAGCTGCTCATTATTTTCTTGATTAGGCGTTTTGTTTGTGAAAAATCCTGTTACAATGTTCTAGAGCCTGACCAGCAGCCCATTAACCAAATATATTCAGATTATAATGAGATACAATAGACAAATCACCAAATTCTCACTTTGGAGAAACAATGAACAGGATTTGGGATTTGTACTTGTCAAACTGCTAATCAAGCCATCAATGTATTTCCTTCAGCTCTAAGCTTGTTATTTTACAATGTCAATACCTGCACTAGAATGCCCCCCCGCCATATGAACACCTGCTGTCGCTCTTTGTGTCCTCATCTGACTATGCAACCTGAGAGGCCAATCATTAACCTGCCTTCCTGCCTTATCAGGGTAACAAGCAGTTGTTGTAGTGGTTAGTTCTGGAGTTCAACTGAACAGTTAGAAAGCTGACAGAAAGTTCTAACTTTCAATGGGCATAAAATGTTCAGGTTGTCATGGGCCTGAAAAAGTTTATGTAGCAAAGAAAGAATGATGAAGAAATGATGTGTGTGATGTCAGATTATACTTCCTCTTATCTGTTCTATAAACACATGGGAATTAATACAGTGAGCCTTTCTAATATGGTCCTGCAATAACTACATGCATATCAGGTACTGATCTGAGGACAGAGGTCACCTTCATAACACAAGAATGACTTACTGATAACAAAAATGTTCACTAACTACCATGAGCAGCTGCACACATTCAAGGCTGAAACTAATCACTATCTCTCTGGTTGATTAACATGTTTACAATCAATTAGTTTGGTTTATAAATGTCAGAAGATGTTAAAAAAAAAAAAAAAAAAAATCTATCAGTGTTTCCCAAAACCCACGATGACAAATGTCTTGTTTTGTCCAACCCAAAGACAATCAGAAATAATGCTCAGTCAAGAAGCTGGAATCAGAGAATGTTGACTTTTATCTTTTAAAAATTACTCAAACTAATTAATTATCAAAACAGATGACCACTAATCAATTCATGAACTGCTGAATGTCATGTCTGTCAAGTTTCCACTTTATGTTTGCACATTTCATGTCGTGTCCTTCCTGCACGCCCGTCCCCCGTCTCCTCACACCTGTCCCCTGATTGTTTCACAGTTTCGTTGCCAGTTCGTTGTACTTCACAGTCCTCGTCCCAGCGTTTCATAGTCAAGTCATAGTCTGTTATGTGTACAACCTCGTTTTCTGCCTTCGAGCTTGCCTTTCTGCCTCTCGTCTTGGATGCCTTATGAGATGATCACCTGTGTACTGAACCCTGCCTGGGAATAAACGTGCTTTTCTGCCTGAACCTGTTTGTTTTGTGCAATTGTGTCCATCTGTTCTGAATTCAGTGAGTTCTTGACACTGAAGCTTTAAAATACATAACAGAAAATACTGAATAAGCCTTTTCAATATGATCATGCACAATAACAAACTACACATCAGTGACTGATCTGAGTTTATTTATCAGTCTTGAAAAACACAAAACAAGATGTGATGACTTCTTAGTGTTTTGCAGCATCTGAAGATGAATAAAGTGATGAATAATGTTTGTATTTTCCTGATGCGCTCAATCATTTTTATGTCTCTTTTCTATAAAATCTACATATTTATTAGGAAAAAAGGAAAACTATGACACTTGCTACTACTTCCCTGGCTGCATTTTAATTTAATCAGTACTATTTTAGTTTAACACTGACCTCTACATACTAGAATAAGGCTAATGAACCACCCAGCATGTTTACCTGCTTCTTTAATAACTAATCACTAGGTTGTAAATAAACTAGTTAACTAGCCACTCCAGCCTTGTAATAACACGGATGACCACACACGCACATCAAAGACACCTCTCTGACCCACTGAGCAACATTTCCAGCCTGTCCTCCCACCTTGGGTCTCGTCCTGCTCCGGCGGCCCTTCCCCGGGCCTCCTGGCCGCACCGCCCGGTGGAGCAGCGACGTGTCCCTGCGTGCTGTTGGCGGCCCGGCTGTAGGTGGTGAAGCCCTGCTGAGGGGCGAACGAGCACACGTTCTTGTTCCTGTAGGTGCAGGTGAACAGGTAGCAGCTGAGGCTGTCCCCGGGCTGCCGCAGGTCCTCCTGCACCACCGCCACGGTGCAGTGCGGCTGCGAGCAGCAGGCGTGCAGGCAGTCCTTCCAGGTGAACACCCGGTCCGGGGCCAGCAGGAACGTGGCCCCCTGCTCGATGGAGGCCTTGGCCCGGATGATGCGCTCCCCGACCGCGTTGAAGTCGCCCACGCAGGAGTCGATCACGTCGCCGACCCGGTACGCCTGGTCCTGCTGGAGCTGCTTGCGGAATTCCTCCAAGAGCTCCTCCACCCCTGAAATTTTGGATTTCAAGTCCGATATGGGCGAGGAGCGAGTTTCGACACGTTCAGCGACGAGCAGCAGCAGCAGCGGCAGCAGCAGCGGCAGCGGGGGATGCTGAAGCAGAGCCATGTTGTTCCTCCGCCGCCCACCGGCCTCCCTCTCTGCACGTCCCGCTCAGCAACGTCCTACATGGAACACACCCCGGCACTGTAGCTCCAAACACTAGTTCACATACTAATTGTACCTTAACGAAGACGGACGGAAGTAACGCCGTGTCCTCTGACGATGCTGGAAATCTGCCGTTGTCATGGTGAGGGGAGGCGGCCGGGGATCCGCTGACGTCACACTGAAGAACAAACATGGCGGCTCACCTGTCAGCTGCCAGCATCTATCAGCATCTGTTCTGCTGCTGCTGCTGCTGCTTGTACCACGGTTGTTGTATAGTTTGTGAGCCTCTTGTAATTGAGATCATTCAGTATATGACATTATGTGGTGAATATATTCAGTGTGTACTTTCGTTACTTTCCCAGCTGACTCAGGGTGAAGGCAGGGGACACCCTGGACAGGTCACCAGTCTATCACAGGGCTACACTTAGAGACAGACAACCAAGCACACTCACAGTCACACGTACAGACAATTTAGAATCACCAATTAACCTCAACATGTTTTTGGACTGTGGGAGGAGAACCCGGAGAGAACCCACGCTGCACAGGGAGAACATGCAAAGTCCACGCAGAAAGATCCCGGGTGTCCTAACCGGGACATGAACCTGAGATCTTTTAGCAGTGCTGTATTTTTAATATGATCTTTTTTAAGTATTTGTTTTTGATTGTCCATAAAAGGAAATAGTCCACTTGTCAAATTAGAAATAATGCAATTTTAAGAGGTGAAACTATTTTTCATTATATGACATTAAACTGATATTCCACTGAGGTGTACTCACTTCTGCCGTACCACCTCCCTCTGAAATGCAGCTGAGCATACGGTAAGAACTGACATGAAATGAAAGTCCGCAAAAGGCCTCTCACTCAAAACCCCACAGTACCTGTTAGACGGGTAAAGTAGTGGAGTAAAGGTAGGAAGGGCCTCCAAGTCTGAGCCACAGCCATTTATTAAAGAATGCTGCAAACACATTTCTTTCACAGCTTCAAGATGAAAAGTTTTATTTTAACAATATGACAACAATCTTGAATTATTTTAGATATGAAACAAAAAGGACACACTGCTCACAATTATTTCCCCCGTTTTTGACATCATTGTTGAAAAAAAAAGAAGTCAAGGCTCTTTCATATAAATTTGTTTTAAATTTCAATACAACAAACATCTGATTGAATGATAATATCCACACAAGCAAGATAAACACAATTTCTGTCAGTGTATAACAATGAAAACAAATGTTCTGATGTAATATTAATCGCAAACTAAATATTATCTCCTATGATTTGTGACACTAAAAAATACAGTAATATACAATTCATTTTTCACATGTGTTCATCATAGACTTGGTCCAAACCACATGGAGATGTAATTATCTTTAGCAATGTCTCTTTTTTAAGTACATAAATGTCATTCACATACAATTCTATAACACAATATTTACATAATAAGCCTCTGAAAAATAAAATTGGAGATTCATATTATAAAAGGAAATGTGAAAAAAGCATCGACAAATTAAATAAGTCTCAGTTTGGATTGAAAAAAATAAAAACAAAAAGAGGGCATGCACTGACATCCTTCAGATTACCATGACAATTAAATTAAAATATATTTAAATAAAGTAGTGATATGATTGCGTTATGATAAAAATATTAGTACAGATGTTGCTGAATGTAGTATTTTGTGTCTCAGGCTTGGGTTGGAAAACGGTCAGTCTCCAGTTTTGTAAACATTACATCTTGTAAAGATAGGAGAAAAGTTTTTTGACAGTTTTCAAGATTTTAACAAGAGATTTTTTTTTTTTATTTCCATCAATTGTCATTTTTAAACACACCTGTAACAAAAGCTGTGTTGTGTCCATCAGGCATAGCAAAACTAGTGGCACTTTTTTAGGAATTCATGCTTTCAAAATGACCTTATATCTAAAATTTGTGTTTCAAAATTATAAAATTCTCCAGGAGATTTTTTTTTGTGTGAGTGTAAAGCTGCTCTGCGCACACGGGGAACACAGGTAATTCTCCTAAAAGACTTGCTCTTATAAATACTGAGGTAAAGAGGAGAATGCTGCTGTTGTCCTGGCTTCTCTGAGTGGTTTGCCGCCACTTAAGGCCTTAGGTCGGCTTCTGCCTGTAGTCTGTGATGGCCTTCCATAGTTTACACAAGACCCCACCTCTGAAAGGACAGGAGGAAACACCGTTAGGTAACATAAGCTAACATTTTCAAGAAATTATCAGAAATGATTCATTGCTACACATATTCCCATTCTTCCCAGCAGTATAAAGCAATAACGGAAGAATAATGAGTGTTGACTTTGGGCTGAACTATTTTTGTGAGTGTGAAGTGTGTGTGTGTGTGTGTGTGTGCTAGTCTGGAGGGAAGCGCTTCAGACAGAGAAGGGACAGCTGCAGGAGGAAGGCTGTATTTTCAAAGTCTGGCATTGTGTTGTTGTTTTTTAGCCTCTTCCAGATTTCTGCCTAGTGGGGATTTAAATCTGCAAGTTTTTAATACCTGAATTGTTTTTAAGACTGTAAGACCTGCAGACACCCCAGAGACCATACCACTGACAGCGGCTGTGGTGGTGTAGATTGTATATAAAAGATTAACGTAGCCTACAGGGCTTAACAGGAAAGCCAATGCAGAAATCACTTAAACCTGCATTCCCTCAAGCAGCCAGCAGGGGGCAGCTCCTCTGGGTGCAAAAGGAAGTCTGATTGTATAGAAGCCTATGAGAAAAGGACTACTTCTCACTGGATCTGCTGCCTTAGCAAATATTGTGTGTTTATGGTCTGAATTACTACATTCAAGTCTTTTTAAATACAAATTCATTTAGTACATATGTTCTCATTTAGAGTAACAGACAATAGAGCAGAGCAGTTCTCAGTCAGATCCAACCCTTGTTTATTATGTCTGGCTTCACATAAGAAAGACAAATTCCAAATCCCAGTCTTTAAATTAACAAACTAATGAGTGACATAACAGCGGCTACCTAATCATTTTCTATACAGTCTACGGGTGAGTGTTGCCGTTTGCCACCATGTATCTCTGATAAGACCTCTGGAGGGAATCAAATACAGAAATGCACAGATCCTGAACATCCAGTGAAGACTTTAAAGGTGTCTAACAAGAATGTTTTGTAAAATGTTTTACTCTTATTTACATATAATAAACAAAGATCTTATAAGTTGGCATAAGTAATTTAAAAGAGAGGTGAACACTACAGGAGTAGTAGACTTCTAATAGACGTGCCTGATGTGATCAGTTACACAGCGCTCTGATTAGTCCTCCTGAATGCGATTAGTTTTCAGATTTAGTGTCCCCTCTGAAGCAATTTAGGCTTGGAGAACTACATTCAGACCCAAAGTGTGGCTCATCAAATCACATTCAGGAACTTGTGAGCAGTTTCATGCAACTTGCATTGTGAAAAATCCAAAAGAAGTAACTGTATGTGAATACTAAACAGTCCTCATAAATGTCCTAAGTTGCCCGGTGCTAATATAAAGTAAGTACAGGAAAGTAAAACCATTCTGCAACAGACAGCTGTCACAGCTTCCTTTCTGTGTTCCTGTTGCACAGATTCAAGTGTCAGCATGTATTTGTATTATAAAGCACTGAATACAGAAGTGAAACTGTATTAAGAAGTTAAAAAAAAAAGGGGGGGTTTACTACCTCAGTCTTAAACTCTTCAGATCGTCTCTTGTTACATCGTGGAGGATGTCGTTCAACGTATACTCCTCATTCAGTATCTAGAGAAACAAAATGAAGGAAATTAGGACCCCAAGACAACATAGTTACATGAGATTCAAGAAAGCTGTTCTGCACAGTCACTTCATTTTAGAGTTTAATCTCATTGCAAAGTATCTAGTCAAAGTGATTTATCATGGGCTGTATAAAGAGTTTTATTTTTCCTCACTGTGTTAATATGAAACAGTTGTCACAGAATGATGACCACCAGCTCTGATATCTCAAAGCAGACACCCACCCTGTCTATGGAGTCGTCGTCAGCACCATAAAGCCTCAGCCAGCTGCTCAGCTCGGGGTCTTCCTGTCTCTCTGCACGTGGGCTCCTCTCTTCCTCCAGGTCATCTGATGATGTGGGGGCATCTAGTAGAGGACATAATGAGAAGAAGACTCCTTTAACACACAGAGCCCGTTTCAACAAGTTCAGTCTGATATTATTCATTCTTAAATCTTCTGCATTTTTGATCTTGGTTCAGCATCAACAGGTAGTTGAGCTTCAACTAAATTGCAACACAAGGACAGAAAATGGTTGCACACCTAAGACTGTTTAACCCTTGAAACCCCAAAACCCACTAATGGCTTCAAAACATGTCATCTTAAAAAAAACAAAAAAAAAGAGCCCAAATTAAACAATTTAGCATGGAAAGAAATTCGAGGAAACTCAAATATACTTGTTCAATAAACTAAATAGAGCATCGTATAAAAGGTAAACAGAGGAACGGTCAGAAGTGGTCAGCAGCTTGTTGGAAGACACATTTCAGATATACAGAGTAGTGTGAAAAACAGAGATTTTGTAGAGGTTGTAACAATGCAAATAGCTCAACATCTTTGGCATGTGGAGCCCACGTTTTTTTTTTTTGCCAGTGCTGATAACATCTGAGGGCACTTGGGGTGTTTTTGTACTACATGTTGATTTGTTTTTATTTCAATTCTTGTAAAAGGAATAATCAAAGAGATCTAATGTTGGTGCATCTGATTTATGGCATTACGACTTTGTTGTTGTTGTTGCTGTTATACTGCACACAAAGTTGTATCTGAGTTATCTCTTTTTCTAGCCATGGTTGCTACCATAGAGGCGCAGGACTTTATTTATAGTGACAAATCAAGCCATGACATGAAGAGTGCACATGAACACAGCTTTCTTCTCGCCTACTCGATGTGCAAATTGGGTGACATCTTATTTCAATTTGCTAATCCAATCAGTAACTCCAGCATCACATGCATCTTGACTTGC